TCCTCCCCCGCTTCCTCCTCCTCCTCCTCACCTTCCTTGTCTTCTTCCCCCCCTTCCTCCTCCTCCTCACCTTCCTCTTCCCTCTCTTCTTCCCCAGATTCTTCCTTCTCCTCCTCCTCACCTTCCTCATCCTTCTCTTCTTCCCCAGATTCTTCCTTCTCCTCCTCCTCACCTTCCTCTTCTTCTCCAGCTTCTTCCTCCTCCTCCGCCGCCTCCTCCTCCTCATCTCCTTCCTGTTCATCTTGTTCCTCATCTCCCTCTTCTTCCTCATTTTCTCCCTTTTCCTCCTCATCTCCTTCCTCGTCTCCCTGTCCTTCATCCTCTTCATCCTCTTCCGCACTCTCCATTTCCTTTTCCTCGCTTTCCTCTCCTTCTTCTTCCTCATTCTCTTCATCTTCTTCAACCCCCCCATCATCACTTTCAGACTCACTTTTGCTCACTTCATCACTACCTCCTTCACTTTCACTCTTTTCCTTTTCGTCCTCGCCTTCTTCCTCATCAGTGTTCGATCCTTCAGTTTCACTCTCCTCTCCCTCTTCGGTGTCTTCCCCCTCTGCAGTCTCCTCTGCAGACTCTTCTTTCTCTCCCTCCTCATCACTTTCCGTGCCGCTGTTTTCATCATCTTCCTCCTCTTCCTGAGAGGATGAGGAGGAAGAGGAGGCTTTCTCGTCCTCTTGAGAGGAATCCTTTTCTTCCCCTTCTGTCTCTTCTTCTCCCTCTGACTGTGTTTCCCCATCATCACTGTCTGAGGCCTCATTGTTCATTTGCTCCTCTGTCTCCTCTTCATCAGAGTCCATTTCTTCCTCACTTTTCCCAGATTCTGCAGTGTCACGCTCCTCTTTGTCCTCTTCAGCGTCCTCACTCGTGGTTTTATCTTCTTCATCTTCGCTTACCTCACTCTCTCCTTTACTCTCCCCTTCAGATGCCTCCTCACTTTCACCCTCCTCTTCCTCTGCCGTTTCACTCACTTCAGAGTCACTTTGCATTTCTCTTGTTCCCACTTCTTCTTCCTCGCCTTCAGCCTCTGTGCCATGACCTTCACCACTTCCCTCATCTTCCTCCCCAGCGGTGGTGCTTGTCCCTTTGCTCTCCTCCTCCTCAGACTTAGTATCTTGGTCTTCCTCTCCATTTCCAGAACTCCCCTCCTCCACTGCCTCTGTGCCACTAACACTTTCACTACCCTCATCTTTTTCCACATCACTGTCACTCTCTCCCTCATCATTCTCCTCCTCATCCTCAGTGTTTGTTTTGTCTGTCATATTCACATCCTCCTCAGAGTCTTTAAAGGTTTTCACATCTTCGTCCTCTCCACCATGTTCCCTCTGGGAACTTTCCATGCCATCGCTTGTGGTCTGCTCAGACATGACACTTTTCGCTGCTTCTTCCTCTGATGCAGCCCGGATGCTATCATTAAACTCTTCTTCTTGGGCAGTTTTTCCCGACTCCGACAGGATGCTAACTCGTGCATCTTTCTGTGAGCTGTCTTCCATTTCAGTTGAGGCAAATGGGGACGACGTGGGGGAAAAGAAAGACTGAGTAACTGCGCTCTGCTTCATGACTTTTCTGGCTTTAGGAGGCGTCTTAGGTTGAGTGGAGCTACTTTTGTCACTGTCGGACTGGAAACCCCCATAACTGCTCACTGCCTCGCCGAAAAGCCCAAGAGCTGCACCTGCCACCCCAGCAGCTGGAATAAGAGACGCTGTTTTGCTTAAAACTTCTTCCCAACGTGGTTTTCCCCCCGTCAGGGCCTGGGTTTCCACACTCTCTGCCTCGGAGGCGCTGGCAAGTTCCGCCCCCTGCAGGGATTTAACCCTTTCCACAGGGAGCACTTCCATTGTCTTCGGGGCTTGTGAGGAAATGGCGTCACGTAACACATCTGGAGGTGCGTCGTGCATGCCGACAGCTTCAGTCGTCTTCTGCGCTGGCTTTCCCTTCGTTTTGCGCTGTGAATCTACACCAGAGTAGTTTCTTTCATTGATTTTCTCCCCTTCTCCTTCTCCGGGTTTTGTCTTAGACTTTGTTTTAGTTTTTAACTCTTGGGTATTGTTTTTGTTCTTTGGTTTAACTAATTTTTGCTTTTCTGCATTCCTGCCGTTCATTTCTTGGGTTGTGTCCTCTTTATGTTTAAGCTCACTTTCTTTACCTCTTGCAACACTCCTGTTTGCAACAGAGGTATTTTCTCCACTCTCCATTTGACCGTTGTCTGCTTTGGTTTCGAGCTTCTGAGGTTTACTTCTAACTTTGACGGGCGTAGACTGAATGCTTAAAGCTTCCTGGGTTTCAGACCGAGATGGGCTGGTAATGAGGGTACTTTCTCTTTGTGCTGGTGGAGATTTAACAACCACAGAAGTGCTTTGACCTTTTGCTTGTGCAGATTTCACCTTGTTCTTTTCCTTTGTTGGAGTCGCTTTGTCTCTCTGTGTCTTCTGTTGCCATTCCCCTTTAAAGGGTTTCACCTCTGTGTTTTTACTCCGGACTGCCGTGTCATCCTTTGAGGCATTTTCGGTCGCCACCAAACTTATTGAACCGGTGGTTTCATTTGCGTTCGTTACCATTAGGACTGGCAATGTATTTTCTGAAGATGATGATATTGTCCTCTCTCTTTGTTGCGGTTCAGTCAAATCTCTCCTGAAGGAGCCATCTGTGACGTTACCTTTGTTCCTATTAGTCACGTTTTTCCTCTTCATCTGAACAGATTGTTGTTTTCTTGGACTGTATTCTGGCAGATAACTCCTCTCAAGTTTGCCTTCATTTTGATTCAAATTAAGGACCCCTTTTTGAGATCTTTTGTGTTCTGGGGTTTTGATTTGATCAAATTCCTTAGTAATGCTCTCTTGGCCGTCAGTTGCATAATTGTGGGTGTTTTTTCTCCTCTTTGATACAGAGACTTTAGACTTAATAGAGCTGGAGCCTGTCAGAAGCTCTGTCGGTAAGGCTTTATGTGAACTTTGTTCTGTCTCCTCCTTGGCTTCTGCATGAGACTCTGGCCTTTTTGCAGATGTTCTAAGCGCTCTGGCACTTTTCTTTCCCTGTAAGACATCACATTTGGATTTGTAATACGTTTGGAGAAAAAGATACACGTCTATCACAGGGGGAACTCTGTTCAAGACTATGAAAAGCTAAAAAGGTGGGTAATGGTTACACCAAAAACATGTAACAAATAGCCCATTCATAAATCTATAATAATTTCAATAAACACCTGTAGGTGGGGGGTAAACGAAATCACAGTGATTGTGGAGAAAGGCTCATTAATTTACTATTTTCCCATCTCTTCTGGAGATGAACAAATAGAGTTTATTTGGGGTCTCTGAGTAGTCACCTAATCACTGTAACACCATACGGTGCGAGGCCATAAGGCTTTGTGCCTCTCAAGGTGTTACTCCCTGTCACACCAAAACATTTAATGAAGCAGACGCTGTAGGCTGACATCAGACGCTGTTGCTGCTTGCTTCATCGTTGGCTGCAGAAACCTGGATGAGATGTGGCAAGATTCCTGCCAAGTTTTCTAAAGAACTGCATGTGTGTACAATCTGTGTTTGTGTGTGTTAGCCTGAGAGCCTGAACACATTTGTATACAGAGGCTATGCAAAAATCTGAATCTGCCTTCACAAGATTGATTACAGACACCCTTGGAAAAGGGGAAATTGATGGAGAGAACTATAAAAAAGCACTGACTCAAACTCAGTATTTGTCTTCTGTTAAAGACAGTGGAACATTTCTCCACACTCACATTTGCACGCATGCTTCGAGGAACGAACACACGTACAGTAAGCATGCTGAGGTATGCACATTTGGTGGAAAAGTCAGGGAGTACTTAGCGCAGCTACATCCTGCCCTGAAGTGCTTACAATCTAGACCCGAAAGAAGAAGTCTTCACAGGAAAATAACACTCGACAGGCCGTGCAGCGCTACACAGCAATGATCTCCTCGATCACAAACACATCCATCCATCCATTTTCATAACTGCTTATTCCCTAATGAGGTCACGGGGTGATCACAGATACATTATTGTCCAAACCATTAAAAATAAAAAGGCATTCTCTTACCGTGTATGGCAAAAAGTCGGAATCAGCTCCTTGTTCTTCCACATCTCGAGAGACCAGTTGTCTTCTGAACGCATCTATGTCTGAACAGAGACAAGACAAGACTTATTTTAAATGCTGTTCGCTCCATGCCAACTGTTTTCCTCCACAGATTATGTATCCAATTGTATGAAGTACCTGTTCTTAGTGAGGTTGGTTGCTCCTCCTCACTGTGATCTTGATTAAAAACATGAATGGGGGGTCTAGCTGGGCTGCAGGGCTCTTTAGGAGGTAGAGGAGAGAGTTTGTCACTCAAGGCTTTTTCAGGGGTTGCTGTTCGGTAAGCTCGTTTCTTTCCTGTCTTTCCAGCAGAGGCAGGAAAGCGGGGGTAGGATTTAGCTATGGATTTAGGTGAAAGTAAAGGGGAAGGCAGTTCTTTCGATTTGGATTTAGAGGAAGGAGAGGTGGAGGCTCTGCTCCGATGTGTGTATGATGACTGTGAACGTGGGCTTGAAGGCATAGAGGACAAAGTTGGACTCTGGGGCGAGATGGACTGGGACCTAGAAAAAGAAAAGGGACTCGTTCTTCCCTCTGATTGCAGGTTTGGAGTTGATGTTGGGGTAGCATCATCCTTTGAGGGCGTTTTCACGGTCTGGATATTTCTAGACGTGTTCAACGACGCATCAAGGAAGCCAGAATTAAGATGAGGGAGGCTATAGCACACTTTCCCAAACAGCTCTATAGAACTCCTCTGAAAGACAAGAAACAAGATTCCCATACCAATGGTTTGAAAAACATCTTTGCAGCTCTCTCAGACAGTTTTTTGGTGGTTCTGCAGCAGAGCCACAGGTCGGAGCAACGCTGCTCCCTGCTGGAGTTAAACTGTGCTTACATCATTAAGGGTTCATGCATGTTTTATCTCACACATTCTCACTAATAACATGCTTTACCATTTTTTCCTGACAGTACAGTCAATTCATGGCATTACAGATTTGGAAAATCACTTGAAATCATGTTCTGCAATGAGGAAATCAACGTGTTATCCATTTGTTTCTTTTTAAATAACATAGAGAGCTGTGGATCTACTTTCTGAATTCTGCCCCCAGATGCAAATAGTGGAGATTAACAGTGATTAGTAATAGAAAGATTTAAAAGCACTCACTCTTTCTCGGTGGCGGGCTCGAGCAGCAAGAGCAGAAAGCGGGACAACTGAAGCTGGATCAATAAGCGAGTCTATTAAAAGCGTTTCTGCGTGATTTGACTCAAAATTGTAATCTGTGATTCCGACAACCTTGTCTAGCACATCTTGGCTCTCTGGTGGTCTGGGAGCAGCCAGAACCAGCATGTGATGACCACCGCAGGACACCTAAAAATCAAACACACAATTAGTGCTGTTTACTTGAAACATTCTAATGCATGCAAAAGACTTTTCAATTAGATTTTAAAGCCTGTTTGCAATTCTTTTGACTTTGTTTGAAGACCTTTAGCTCCTCCAAAGAAAACTTTAAAAATCAAATCTGGGTCACCTCTTCACTTACAGCCTGAACACTGTACTGGAGGAAACGTTTGCAAAGAGTCGGACTGAACTGGTTCGAGAAGTTTTCCTCCCCTAAACCCAGCTTGCCGTAACGGCCATCACCAAACGTGTAGAGCAGCCCGGTCTCTGACGAATGCAAGAGATAAAAACACAGATTATTTTCTTTACAAAAGAGAAAATACAGTACAAGTTTTGATCGTCATACAACACAGCATATTATTTTACTGCTTTAAGAGTCATCCCATGTTCTACTTCACACAAACCTGCAGTGAAGTGAATACAGAAGCTGATTTGTTGTCTTCAGATAAACAGTTAGATGAAGAATTGACAAAATACAGTGGCTGAATAAAAATCAATTAAATTACATTTTTTATTCGTAAGTAGTAATAATTTATGGCAATTTCATTAATAAAAATATCTGGGTCAGACCTCTTAAAGAAAGAGCATGTCAGACAGTTATGGCAACTGAATATTAACATGAATTCAGTTCAGTTTTATTCATATAGACTAGGGGGGCGGTCTTCTGACTCCACCAGCTGAGGGATTACATTTTTATTTACCATTATTTAGTCAAATTAGTCATTTCTAAAGTCTAATTCACAAACATTAGAATGGCAACCACAATATAGATTTTCTTCTTAGTCTAAATAAACAGTAAAGCCAGGACAGTAGATGCACTCCAGAATCTATACAACAATTCATAAAACAAAAGGTTGTCAGTTATAACTGGAGTGCTATTAACGGCACACAGTTCAGTGGCCCTGAGGACTTCTACATACACACATTTTGTTTTAAAAATCCATGCGTGTCTACAAAGCTTAATGAGCCAACTATAAAAGGAAGGACTATCAAACATGGTTCACTTGTGATCACAGCAGTGTGGTTTTCTCCACAGGCGACGTGTTGGATACTGCTGTTATGAAAGTGCTCCAGCGGTTTGGGCAAATGGACTTCAAACACAAACGTTCCATGGCCCAGCTGACCGTGCTGCCCCCTGCCGAAGGTGTAAACGTCTTCTCCTGGCACAGAAAACAAACGTGATTAGGCACCGATTATTGCACATTTACTCAGAGATGACCCACGATAACTGGAGAAGACCTAAAGCTGCTGGATAAAAACATTTTTTTTCAGCCTCTAAACGAACACGAAAAAACCTCTTTAATAAGAGATAGGCTACTTCTCATTAATTCAAAAAAAAATTACAGAGTACATTCAGGGCTCACGCAGAGATTGGTTTCTGCAACCGTGTGGCTACATTCCAATAAGAATTTTAAAAATCTGACAAATTCTGAACGTTATGAGATCAATTCTTCTTGTTCAATAAAAGCTATGAACACTTTGTCCTACTTTCCAGGGCAGGAAAAGGTTCTCTGCTGCCGGCTTACCGGTGACTGCTACCGTGTGCTGCCCTCCACAGCACACCTGAGTGACACCACCCAGAATGCCGTGCACCTGCTGAGGGACTCTGTGATTGGCCAGCTGCACCACCTGGAGGCCCAGTCTTCCGTAGTCACTCTCTCCAAACGTGTACAGGTGCCCCTGGACTGGAGCGGGATATCCACAGCGTCATAAACAACACAAAAACGCTACACACAGACCGGCGGGGAGAGAGTTTCCACACCCTACCCGTGACTAAAGCCGAGTGCCGACTTCCACAGGAGACCCAGGTCACCGCCTCGCCCACTTTCACCTCTCGGGGTTCCATTGAGAACATCTGGTCCCCCAAACCGATCTGACCGACAGAGTTATCTCCCCACATGAACAGCCTTCCATCCTCTGCCAACACGGAAAGGGCCAAATCAAGCACACCGCGCAGGCCTCTGCTTTAGGCCCGCAGAGGGACCAGATCCCCGCCCAGACCTGTTAGGGCAGCTGAGGTGTTGCGTCCCGCAGAGAGCATCCTGATGGCCGCGCCCCCACTGAAGGCCTCCAGGGGCTGGAAGGACCGGGCGGTCTGGCAGTGGCCCAGACCCAGCTGGCCCTCCCGGTTACAGCCGGCACCGTACACGCTGCCTTTATCTGAACAGGTATGGAACAGTGTTACATCGACGTTAATATGATGGACTAACCAATGCCGGAGAACCCGGAAACATCGGGCAAATCCATTTCTGACACAGTTTGTTGAGGAACCTTACATGTGCAGACTATTGTGTGATCTCTTCCACAGGCCACAAGCTTCACCCTCTCAGATTTCAGGGCTGCAAATAAAAAAAAGAAAAGTCTTTGGTGTTTTATCTCAACATTTTTCACCCATTAAAACTCGATCTAAGAAATAGAGAGGAAATTTGATTGTTTTTATTCTTAAATCTTCATTTGGTGTTCAGGAATATCTGACTGCCCAACAGGGTTCTTAGCAAATTATGCAAAATCTCTCAGATGCAAAAGATTTCAGAAACCGTAAATATTAAACATATGGCATTAGGATTAATTGATCAGAAACTGAATAACTTTGTGGAAATAGCTGTCATTTTTTTAATTTACAGTATGGACGGATAAGGAGTGGTCCTTTTGGATTATGGTACCTTTCACAGAAGCAGGTTTATTGGCAGGTGGCTTTAATCGGAGTCCCAGCTGGCCGGAAGCGTTCCCCCCAAACATGAGCAACCTCCCATTTTCTAAAAACAAAACGAACAAACATTTTCGGCAAGCTTCATTGAAAAATCCTCATTAAACCAAACTGGGAAATCGGTCCAGGTGCGCGCGCGTGCCTGTGATGACTGCGGAGTGCTCCCCTCCACAGCAGACGTCCACCGGGTGGTCATTCCTCAGCCAGAATCTGGTGGGCAGATTGTCAGCGAAGCTGCTCTTTCCGAACGTGAAGACGGCTCCTCTTTCTGGAGACGAGAGTGGGATGCGTCTTTACGCGGCCGTGACCAGAGCACTACACCGACCCCCAACTTGTCCGACCTAACACCGGCTAAATCCCGACCTGCTGTCAAATCTCCGCTTTAAGCAGCAGCCGCGCGACAGAAATAGAAACAAGGGGGGTTTTCTTGTATATGCTGGAGGTGGAGGAGGGGTCATAAAGACTAAAAGAGACTATTGTGGCTGTAAAGTGCTCACCCGGGGTGTCTGCGTCGGTGTGCCCCGTCATGTCCACCGCTGCCCCCCGTCACACCTCCCCACCGGGCTGCAGCTGACCGGCAGGGAGAGCAGGAGATCAGGGCCAGCCCGGGACAGCCCGGGATAAGCTGGCCGCGCTCACGCGCCCGCTACCGGGTGGCAAATGTTTGATTATATAAATATTTATATATTTAAAGAGAATGCAGCTTAATTGTCACTGTTAAAAAACATTTTTAAATCATACAAAAATATGTATAGGTTAATAAAAGTGACCCCAATAACCGGTAGAAAATATTTAAAGGCGCGTGATGACCCACAATGCCACTCAAATATGGAGCCAAGCGGCCACTAGCTGACCATGTCTCTCTAGGAACTTTTTGGCTTGGTGAAAGAAACACAACAGAGCTGCCAGTAGGGATAAAATGTAGCAAAAAAGAAGAAGAAAAAAAGGTTAATTAAAGCTTTTCATTCTTTAAAAGGTTTATATCGGTCACACTCTCCATCGCTCAGGGCGTAAAACTGGGCCCGCGCGCGTACTCTCATTCACCCAAATAAATCCTAACAGGAAATGGACCATAGTCCGTCTCTCACCGGACTGTGGCGCCTGTACTGTATCTCTGCTGTATCTCTCCCTCTCACGCCGGTATCGTGCAAAGCCATTCTGTCTCTCAAAAAACTAACTATCAAATATACGCTTGCAGTCAAATAATTCTCTCCACATGACATCAGGCGGTTTGTATCTTTAAACTTTTTTGTTATTATTTCCTTTTGACAAAATTACATTTTGCATGCAAATATTTTGTTTAAACACCAAATAAGCCATTGTAAACTTTTCACGGCAGTGCAGTGGAAGCCACGCCCCACCATGACGTCACCTCAGCCAGCCGCATGTGTGGGGATGGTCAGTCAATGACAGCTGCTCCTCTCAGGCCAAACAGCCACACAACACAGCTCTCTCACAGGATTTCTTACATGGTAAAATGTCTTCTAGGCTGCTGACTGTTAACAGCTTTGCTTTAAAATGGATAAGATCCTCACTTTGCCCCCTGACAAGAGCATTTGGGTAAGAAACTTTCAATGGTTTCCTCAGAAATAACACATTCTTTGAGGATAAAGGCCGCATTGTCGCTTTGCTCCTGTATTTCTTTTTTCCCAGCTCTGCAGCTGCTTGCTTGAAGTCCGTTGATCTAAAAGGTCGCAGCTGTCTTACTCTTAAAGACTTCAGCTCAGATGAAATCAAGAGGCTGCTGTGGGTGTCAGCCGACCTCAAGCAACGGATCAAGCATGACAAACAGGTAGTGACTTGAGGTAACAAATCCAACCACCGACGGTCATCCATTAAACATATTCCGTTTTCCTCTCGGCCTGTGGTTGGATCATTTAAAGAAGCTAACAGGTATTTCTGTTTCAGTATCTGCCTCTTCTACGAGGAAAGTCGATTGCAATGATATTTGAGAAGAGGAGCACCAGAACGAGAATGTCCACAGAAACAGGTGCCGTTTTCTGTAGCTCAGTTAGATATGTCTGCAAATGGCTGTAGCGCAGGAGAGGGGAATGCTTTCTACAGATGAGCTGCATTGGGATTGTGTCCTGGTGCTGTTGGCTGAGCTGATGCATTTCATGCCGACCATTGTTTAAAGGGACAAAAGATCTGCTGAAAGGCAACTTTTCGGTCAAAGCCCTTATACAAAGCACCGGGCAGTAACTTCCGCTCCCTTTTTCTCTTCATATTTTCCCAAGTTCTTGTTAGTTTTGTCTTAAACTAAAGCTGTTTTTCTCTCATGACTCCAGGTTTTGCTTTGTTGGGCGGCCACCCTTGTTTCCTGACCTCACAGGATATCCACTTGGGAGTGAATGAGAGCTGCACAGACACAGCAAGGTGGGTCTTATAGATATCTGAGTTTTTGTTTTGTTTTGCAAAAATGTCAGCAATCTTGATATTGATATTGCATAATTTACCTTTATTCTTTTATACAGCCTGAACCCTGTACAGAAGAATAACATTAAATGGTCTTTAGGAACTGTTCTGTAGGCTTTTAGAAGGACACCCCAAAGCTTTTCTTTGAATGATGGCTGACTTTTTACTGTCAATATAACCCCAGGCTGCTTTTATCTTGACAGGGTTCTCTCAGGACTGTGTGACATTGTTTTGGCACGAGTGTACCACCATTCAACGCTGGAGGAGCTGGACAAAGAGGCTTCCATCCCCATCATTAATGGTCTTTCGGACCTATACCACCCGATTCAGATCATGGCAGACTTTCTTACCTTACAGGTTTCTTATCTTACTCAATATGATCATTTTTTAGCACATGACCAACACTTGCTAAATCTCATCATTATTTCCTTTTAGGAACATTATGGCTCCCTTAGTGGCTTAACGGTGAGTTGGATCGGAGATGGCAACAATGTCCTCCACTCCTTCATGATGACTGCAGCCAAACTAGGAGTTCATCTTAAGATTGCCACACCGAAGGTTTCCGCCTTTCCTCTATGGTTGCTTCTTTTACTGTGCTTATTCTCTTTCTTGATATTTTCCTGTCATGCCACCTCAATAAACCGTACCTTCACCCACAGGGATATGAACCTGAAAAAAGTGTCACAGAAGAGGCTCTGAGACTCTCCAAACAGGTGTGTCACCTTTTTTAGTTTGCTGAGTCCTTTTCTGATGAAAAGATTGGGTTGCTACTGAAAAATAAAACTTTCTTCTGTCGCAGCATGGGACCCAACTTGTTCTGACCTCTGATCCAATGGAGGCCGCCCATGGTAGTAATGTGCTGGTGACTGACACCTGGATCAGCATGGGGCAGGAGGAGGAGAAGAAAAAGAGGCTCAAAGACTTTCATGGATACCAGATTACAATGCAGGTAAGGGAGGGTGTCATTTATAGAACATTGTGTTCAGAAACTAACTTTGAAAAAAATATATATGCTGCCAGTCAGCTTTGTTTTTTGTGTTTTATTTCTTTCTTTTTGTCCAAGGTTTTGCACTTATGATAGGAGGAAAAGACCTCAAACTTGTACAAAAGCTGTATTCAGCTATGATCAAATTTAATTTTTGTTCTCATTATGAGTCGATTTTCATTAATACCTACAAGCTGCTCTCCTACACTAAATTAAATGTGAGTTTATCAAAGGTTACCATATGTGTGGATTTTTCCCATGAAGAAACAAAGTGAATTTTTGTGCTTGTCCATTACAGACGGGAAGTGTGGCCAAGTCAGACTGGACATTCCTGCACTGCCTCCCCCGCAAGATGGAGGAGGTGGACGATCAGGTGTTCTACTCCTCACGCTCCCTCGTATTTCCTGAAGCAGAGAATAGGAAATGGACCATCATGGTGGGTCACCGACCAGTCTTTAATTTCACATTTTGAACAAAGATGAGTTTAAACCGTGTGGAATACTCCCCAACTCTCTTTCAGGGGTTGATGGTTTCTCTTCTGACTGAGTACACGCCGCAGATCCCCATGCCGAAGTTTTAACCTCCGGGCTTGCTGAGGTGGAATTTACACCGGATGGCACGTTAAGCCCCTCAAAACGGCAGGACAACGTCAGAGTGACTATGTTTACAGTGATAATGCACATTCTGGGTTTCACTGGATGAATATAAGACTGTTTTTTATGCTGTTCTTCTTCTGTTTACATTCTGCATTCACTGTGAAAGATTAAAAATGGAGGAAAAATCTCCTTATAATTCTACAATGAATCATTACTTAATAATAGGTTTGATACCCAGGGTATCTAGTTAGAAGTGGGTACCTATATGAATTTTACAGCTTACTCAAAAGCATTGCAATGCTGTCTCTGATTGTTTTTCATCTCTTTAGAGTCTGTAATGGAGAAATTAGGTGAATAAAATGTCTGTTTACACATTTTTACGTGAATAAAAACATAAAACTTTACCAATATATACCTAAAATTGTTAAAAACTTTATTATCGTTCGAGTGCGGAATCTCAAGATGTTAAAATCTGCATATCTTTCTTCAATTTTCATTTTTCAGCACTTTTGAAATTATATTTATATGATTAAGATGTAAAAAACACATTTAGGTTTTCATTAGATATATGTTTAAAGTTGTTTAAATCATAATTTTAAGGGACTGGAGATGTTTTTTCTACCTTGAGTTAATTGCTACTACAATAGGGAAATTATTCAAAACCCTCTACTCTGAGAGTGTCGCTAACTTTGTGGTCTGAATAGAGTATAATGTGTGCTGATGGCTTCATAATTTCACAAACGGGGTAAAAATGTATTCAATCGGTAAAATACTAAATATCTAAATTTCAAATATTTTCTAATGTACAGTTGATACATTAATAGAATGTTAATGCGATGTAATTTCTATGGGTCTCTGAAGGATCTGTGTGAGTGCGCCCCCAAGCGGAGGGAGCCGGTACAGCTCGTGGCGTCTCATTGGTAGACAGGAGATGACGTAATAGTGCGGGAAGCTATGATCTATGTGTGTGGTCCATCCGCATAAAGTGATGCGGTGTATCAATTCATTCATAAACAGGAATTCCTGTCGGCACGTCATTCTCATTTTGTAAACAAGGCAACAAATGTCTACTCAACTTGGTACCTGTACCTAAATAAAGTGGACTTTTTTGTTTACACGCGGGGCACCGTGCACATTCGAGTGTCTGTGGTATAAGAATAAAGGCTACACACACCGGTGCGAAGAAATAGCTTTAGATGCTTAAATGGTGCTATAAAAACAATGCTTTTTCTCTCTCTCTCTCTGGCCGACCACCCACACACAACTAAGGGTGGCTGCACACAGAGGGAGTTAAAGCTGAGACGGGGGGAGAAGGAGGAGGAGGAGGAGGACGCCATTGCAGCCGCAGCTGGCCGTTTGAAACTTGGTCGAGAAGGGGACAAATGATAGCAAAATTGTCCGCTTAGACTGTCCTCCGGGAGTTTCCTGTCTCGTCCCACTCCCTCGCTGTGTTTACAGTGGAAACAGACCGGGGAAAATGGACGTTTCGTCTCGGACGAGGAGGGGAATGTGGACCTACAGCGCCGAGCCAAAGCAGGTAAAAGCGGCCGAGTTTCGGGGGGACAATGGGAGAAGTTTGAGCCAAACTTTGCTAACAAACGCTAGCGTTTGTGCTAAGGAGCCGCAGAGGTGGAGGTCACGGAGAAGTGGTCACTTTCTAACCTCCCTTAAAGCAAAAAAGATTCGAGAAACATGGTGCTATACGGTCAACTTTCACTATCATCTTCAGTCTGCCTCCTAAACCTAAATTGTACCGCACAGAAAAGGAACAAATGGTGTAAACTAGCGCCACAGATTAAAGCTGGTTTAGCGAACAGAGTTCCAAATCTTCGTCTCTGGCGAGCTGAACAGAGTTGATGGTATTTAACAAAAATCTTATCCCTTTGTGGACAATCCCGAGTGACTGATACAGTGTAAAATGGGAGTTTTTGTCGAGTTTAAAAACTCAAAAGTGCACACAAAGTATCACTTTAAAAAAAGTGCATCTTTAAGGATCCTTACTTAATTTCCATATGCACATATTTCGTTCTCTTTTGCACTTGTTCGACACCTTAAAATATGTCCAATCGTTTTGTTTTAACTGATTTACTGTCACATTTAAAGAAGTGTTACATTTTACCCTAATCCCCCAATTTAGCATGGTAATCCAGTGTATTGGACATCTGTATGCATAGTTTAGTTACACCTTAGTCTTATTAAAAGTAAGCATCCAAAAGGGGATACAGAAACGTGCAATTGTTGTCAAATAGTGTGGAAACATCCGGGTCCGACTTTGTAATTGCATGTCAGTAACAAGATTGCTGGCTGTTGTCGTTATCTCCGACTCACGTCTGGGTTTTCAGGAGATAAATGGTGGTTTAGTTAGGCTCTGCTTGAGGGTTCTTGTCCCTGTTACTGATCGTGAGTGCCTCCCCTGCAGTTTCCCGTCGCCTCGCCTGTCCGGTGGCCCAGAGTCTCGCCATGAACGGCAGCAGGAACTGCACCTCGGCGGGGAATGGCGAGGGCCTGGCCGCCCTGGAGTCGGTCTCCATCGTGAGCATCACGCTGCTGGCCTGCCTGGGGAACCTGTTGATCGTGACCACCCTTTACCGCCGGCCGTACCTCCTCACGCCCAGCAACAAGTTCGTGTTCAGCCTGACCTCCTCCAACCTGCTGCTGTCCGTCCTGGTCCTGCCCTTCGTGGCCGTCAGCTCGGCTAAGCGGGAGTGGGTGTTCGGGGTGGTCTGGTGCAACTTCACCGCCCTTCTCTACCTGCTCATCAGCTCCGCCAGCATGCTCACCCTCGGAGCCATCGCTATTGACAGGTAAGCCTCAGGTCGTGCTCTCACTCCTCTGGCTCTGCAAAAGAGACAGCAGCAGCTTCACTGAGAAGCAGGATTCCACAACAGCGAGACCAGAGGTGCCAAGACGTCCAGTCAGAGGCCACCGCTTCCAGCTGGGACTCCGGCCCCCTGCGCTGGAGCCCTGAGAGTCCCACAAAACCTCCCAAATTCACACTTCTTTTAGGCCGGTGTGGAAGTGGTGCCAGAGCCTTTCAGCTTTCACGTGCGACTGAGAGGACGGCCGGATGTTGGGCCTCCTTATCTTTGCATATTTGTTCCCTTTGAGGTTAGAGCCTCTGTCGCAAACAACCCCAAAAAAATGGCGCTGCTCTTCAGCAGTGCTTCCTGTCTGTGTGGCAGTTAGAAAAATAGACCAAACGGAGCGACGATGTTACGATTTGGCACAGTTTGACATTAAAGAAACACTATCATGATTGATAATGTAGCAGAGAGAGATGATCTCGTTTCAGTTAACTGCTGACTGGACTTGTGGTATTTTTAGGGATTCACTCCCAGCTCCAGTGAGTGGCATTAGACATGCTCACGCAGAGATCTTATCCTGCGGCTGACATGAATGCGCCATTCATCTGCAAAGACCGGGTTATCAGAAAGCTCCTGCTCACACTAAGCATGTATAAGAATGCCAAAGTCCAAGTTTATTCCCAAGGAACATGCTGAACACCTCAGGGCTCATATTATTATTGTTATTATTATTTTATGATCACCTTCAGGGGCAACATAACCAGGACACATCAGATGAGGATCAGTTGGTGTGATTGGGTCGTTGTATCTGTCCCTCTTTGATTTGAAGTCTCCTTTTAAGCAGCTTTTTATGTTGGTTTATTAACACTGAAAACCGGAGGTTTGAATTGGTTCGCCCCATCCGTCACCGAGACTTCTTGTTTACACGCACCGCTTCTCAGATTCGATTGAGTTTCTGCATTTGAAAACGCTGGAGTTGAGTTATGGATCCCAGTTCTCAGGCGTCACAAAGCTGTGGCTGTGGGGACTACTGTAACCCTCCCTCAATGGGCCACAGTCCCGCGGCCCTTTGGGAGTTTTCCCATTACACCGTGGGGTTTTGTTCTCCCGCCAAGCGCCCGTCTTGTTTGTTTTGTTCGCAGCTTTTAGCCAAACGCATTAGGGCATCGCCGGGGGGGAGAGCGGCCTTTGGGCTTCACACGCTCCTTATCTGAGCCGCCTCTGTGCGGCGTGGATGGGAACGCTCCGGCGAGGGCGGGCCGGCGCTGTGACGCCATCTCTCTGCTGTCTCCACAGGTACTACGCCGTGCTCTACCCCATGATCTACCCCATGAGGATCACGGGCAACCGGGCGGTGGTGGTCATCGCCTACGTGTGGCTGCACTCGCTGGTGGGCTGCCTGCCGCCCCTCTTCGGCTGGTCCTCCTTCCAGTTCCACTGCTTCAAGTGGAGCTGCGTGGCGGCCTGGCACCGGGAGCCCAGCTACGCCGCCTTCTGGGTGGCCTGGTGCGCCCTGCCGCCCCTCCTCATCATGCTGGCCTGTTACGGCGTCATCTTCCGCGTCGCCCGCATGAAAGCCCGCAAGGTGCACTGCGGCACAGTGGTGGTGGCGGCCCAGGACGACTCCTCGGCGGCGGGGGCGGCGCAGAAGAACGGCCGCAAGAACTCCAGCACCTCCACCTCCTCCAACGGGAGCCGGCGGAGCCTGGTGTACGCCGGGAGCCAGTGCAAGGCCTTCGTCACCATCCTGGTGGTGGTGGGCACCTTCCTGGTGTCCTGGGGCCCCTACGTGGGGGTGGTGTGCGCCGAGGCCCTGTGGGGGCCGGGCGGCGTGCCCCGGGGCGTGGAGACCCTGGTGGCGTGGCTGTCCTTCTGCAGCGCCGCCTGCCACCCGCTCATCTACGGCCTGTGGAACAAAACGGTCAGGAAGGAGCTGCTAGGCATGTGCTTCGGAGACCGCTACTACCGGGAGCCCTTCGCCACGCGGCAGCGCACCTCGCGCCTCTTCAGCATCTCCAACAGGATCACAGGTGGGGCCTCCTCACCCCCCAAACCCCCAACCCCCTCACCCCCGGCAGGGTGGAGCTCAGAGGATGAATTTGGCTTTCGTCTCATTTCCCCGAACTGTCATTCTATGACGAGTTTGTTTGAGAGGATCAGGGATGTGCTGATATCTTAACTTTATCACAGGAGTGTCTCAGAAAAACAACAAAAAAAGCATTTAGTCATTAATTTAATTCAAACATTCATTTAATCTAATAGCGTTGTTCATAGCCTGTTGTATTTTTTTGTGTATTTTGTTTATAGCAAATCAAAACATCCACAGGAGAATCAACAAAATAAGGATATTGAATTCTTTTAGCATAACAATCATCAGTTTATGACACCTCTGACATTTCACGCATGTGCCCTTTAGTTATTGATAACTTCTTTTATATCAAATAGACCCACAAGACCTTTAACAGGAAGAACATAAGGCTTTTTAGAGGCCTCCTGGGATAAGATGCTGCTGGGTGGGCCGATGGTTTTACATATACATGTTCAACACCTCTGTCAGATCGCCCCATTTATCTCTTTTATGTCTTTTTTCAGATTTGGGCATGTCACCACACCTGACCGCCATGCTGGCAGGAGGAGGCCACCTGCTGGCCCCGGGCAGCAGCACGGGAGACACAGGCTTCAGCTTCACTCAGGACTCAGGTCGGTCTCCTTAAACAAACAGGAAGCGCTTTTCGACCTCAACTGGCTTTCATTTCTATGCTAGATTGCCTTTCATCAAGCAGTGTGGAATTTTTGATAGTCATTACTCCCCAAACCAAACGTGCACCCCCCCCGTGTGAACTCATTAACGGACGCATCAAACAGCACGTTCCACCGTTCTCGTAGATCATTCCCAATGATAAACGGGAGGAAAGCCCTGTGGCGTTACACGCCCAGTGTGTGTGTGTTTGCGTGTGTGTGTGTGTGCTGTCAGCAGCACATTCCTGTCTCACAGCTCACGCTTAGAGCGCAGGAGGCTGAGGCCGGGCGGCCGACGTCATGCCTGACACGCAGTTCTCAGATCTGTGCGCTGCTTTTTTTTCTTTTTCTTACTTTTTTTTTCTGGCTGTCCAGAATTCTTAGCGAAGGGCTGCTTTCACTTAACGGGGGGCTTTGGTTCCCACGCAGGCACAGATGTGATGCTGCTGGATAACTCCTGTGCAGACAGCTCCTCCCTCCCGCCGTGCCTCCCGTCCGGGAAGAGGAGGAGCTCGGTCACCTTCGAGGACCAGGTGGAGCATTCCAAAGGTAACCGTCATTCGTTTCCCTCCTCCGGGGGGTGGGGGGGGGGATTAGCCAGGGGCGCTCTTCAGAAGGAGCTCTGTGTTGAAGAGCAAAACGAAAAAACAAGCGGAGCATTTGTCTTCATTTGGTCCTCTTTTCCTCAGCTGAAAACGCGGCCTCGGTGAAGGTCCACGCAGAGGTCCACGACTCTCTGGACGCCTTCGCCTCCTGCCTGGCGAAGGCCATAGAGAGCGACGCCAAGCTGACCCTGTTCGGGGAGGGTCCGGCCCTGCTGGGGGGGGCCCCCGCAGCCAGGCCGGCGCAGAGACCCCGATACCTGGACGGCCAGAGACTGAGGCTGGAGAGCATCGACGAGGGGATCGTCAAAGACGACCGGGACGAGGAGGAGCAGGCTGGGGAGGAGAAGCCCAACGGAGCAGAGCGGGTCCAGTCGTAGAGCGGGTCCAGTCGCAGAGCGGGTCCGGTCGTAGAGCGGGTCCAGTCGTAGAGCGCTCTGGGCTCCGGCTCAGCCAGTCTGGGCTCCTCCGGTGGGCACGTGAACTCATCAGCCAAAATATTCATTCCACTATGCTGGACCGAGCGCACATAGCCAGTGTCTTGGTAAACCTTTTGTATGACTCGTGTAATCAAATAGGAAGTCTTAGCTACTGTAACCAAGTGGTTCTGTTTCATTGTTTGTTTTTCCCTCAATAGTCTATTCTGAAAATTCTGCATTGTGACTGCTCAGTAAGACAGAAAATGAGTCGTCCCCGTCTCCAGAAGACTCACAGGGTCTTCTAGCTCTATTCAGTAAAGTTTGTCTCCCCCTTTTGACCAAGAGGCGCTTTATCCCGACAATGCACTCAGAAACAAACAGACATCTCTTTCCGTCTCTGTGTCTGATTCAGACACCAGTGAGGGAAACTCAAAGCATCTCTCATCTTCAGGCTGCTGCCGCCCTGAATTCTCACGCAAAGATTCCCGCTGCTGTGTGACCATGGAAGGCAGATTAGTGCCTGTTTGAAAAACAAAAACCCGGCCGCCGACATTCTGAGGCCAGATGTGCTGCATCTGGGTGTAATGAACTCCTTTACCGAGCGTCTTCGTGACTTGGACGCAGACACTAATTGCAGTGATTGCAGTACGACACGATCCCACGCTGATCCAGATCCAGAATGGGCAAAATGGACTTTTTCTTTGCATTTTTGAAAAGTAGTTTGTTTAGCTGCTTCAGTCACTGCATCTCAGTCGGCCAATATTTGAACGATGCGCGTTAAATCTAACGGCAGGTTTAATGTCCGGACCAGATGGACTAAAGCTGGGAACCCAGTTCAGTGTGGGAGCAGAGTCTGGCATGTTTTCTGGTTCTTTCCAGCTCTGCAGACACAGGAATTGCACTTAGACAAAAGGAACTCTTTTGTGGTACGTCAGTGGAGGCCCTCACCTCTCTCTAACCATTTATGCGGTTCAGACGTAATAATGTTACACAGAAAAGGGGCTCAGGAACTAGAATCTGTCATTTGTATAGATTCTGGTCGGAAATCAGACCACTTACTGTTTAAGACCCACCCAAAAGAAACAGAAGTTACTCAGAGGGTCACGTGGTATACCTGGTCTTATACACTCACTACCCTTTTTTTGTTAAGAAGTAACCTATAAAATAAGGTTTGTGAGCTCATTTGTGGCCCGGTTTTGGCGTTTCTTTCTTACCTCATATGTTTTCCTATTGTTTCACAGGTACTACTTTTGTAAAGAAAAGCTGCCCACCTGAGATGTGATGTAACTTTTTCATTTTCTTTCTATAGTATTAATACAAGTATTTGCATTAAAGATGAGGTTTACTCTGTGTGTTAGTGTTCGGCTTCATGCAATTTAGTTATTAAAGTTTTCAGTGTGGTGTCTTAAGTTAAGCCTAATTGTTTTCCCTGAAGCTTTCTAAATGCATCACCTCTCAGTAAACTGATCATTTCAACCTGTGTACTGGCAACACGCATTTATTTCTTGTAAATGTTTTATTTTAAGAAAATGTAAATTTGTCTGAGGAAGGCAGTCCATCGGATGTTTTTTGTAGTAAAATCCATATAAATAAATATAAAAAAAACACTTAGATTTGCCTGTTGACCATTTTGATCCATCAAACATCAGTTTCATGCTTTTTCTAAGCATTCCAAATCCCTGTGAACTACATCCCAATCCCCGGGAGGGAGTGTATGCCGTCTTTTTCAGTGAGATTCCTTGTTCTTTAAATAGTTTGTAGCAGAGTTAACGAGTTTTATAATAATATAGTTCTCATTGCTTAGCGTCCCCTCCCCCAATCTTAAAGCAACAAAACAGAAAGGTCGTGTTTTACTTAAAGTCTGTATTCACATGCTGCAGGAGCACATCAACATTTCTTTGCAACAAATTCAAAAATGTCAAACGTCAACACTGATCAAAGCTCGCCTTCTCCTAACAGAAAATAATATTGCACTTGACATCCTTTTTTTTTTTTTTTTTGTAACACCAGGCGCAGATTTCCTCTCACCGAACATTTACATAAACACACTGACGTCCTTTTGCATTCACACGGGTGGCGTTTCTCCTCATACAGAATCAGTAAGAAAGTCCTTTTTTTTTTTAAAAACACAGGGGGCTAGAAATGACACTAATATTCAAAAGGAAGTATTCTAGACTATATACTTGTACAAATCTCGGGTATCTTTCAAGTGCTATACAGCCAAAACAAATAGCCTCTTTCTTGAAAATAAAATGCAGGTGGGCTACTGCTCGTCCTCGTTTTCCTGGCCTGAGCCTTCAGAGCGATCGCCCTCTAATCGATCTATGAGAAGTAAAAGACAGGTTTCAGTGAGAGAGGGAGACAAACATCAGGTTTTGTGGTATCTGTGTGTGTGTGTGTGTGTGTGTGTGTGTTTACCTGATCTGATGTGATTGAGGGAGGCCAACATTCGAAGCATGAAAGAGGCCGGGACTGTAATTGTGTTTCTGGTTTCTTCTAGCATCAGCTCATTTCTGGTTATGACCTTTTAAAGAGAAAGAAAAGGGAAGGTAAATGTGAAAAGTAGGTGAGGAAAGAGACCTTTTCCTTTTTGGGACGATGAGTCATGAAGGAGACACCCAGCCCCCTTACCTGACAGAGAACAGCGTTTAAGAGGACTCATTTTGCTTTTGGTGAAAGCTAATCTGATAGTCTAGAAGGTCCAGTAGGCAAATATTTCTTTTGTAGGAGGAGAAAGGACACTGTACCTCATCAGCCAGGATTCTGTTGAAAGATGGCGACTCTTCCAGTGGCGACCAAATCTTGATGTCGTAGTCTATCCCCGAAGAAGCCAGAACTGAATCGAAGCAGAAAAAGATGTGCGGAGGTTTACGCAATGGACAAAAAAACAACAACCTTAGCTGGATTTTGGGCGGAGCTGGAGCTCACTGGGGTCGTAGGGGTGCGGCTGCAGGCAGTTGACCACATGGTTGTCGGCCTCCAGCAGCATGAGGTGCTCCGCAGTGTGCCGGTCCCAGATGAAGATGTGACCACAGTCGGAGCCACTCATCACAAAGTTGTTGCCCCAGAAGCACGACTCCTTTATCTAAACGTGAAATGAAATTTAGAAATGTTTTTTAAAAAGCATCTCCAGGTAATAAAACGGAATAATTGCTCTCAGGAACAGTTTTAGGAACACAAACACTGAGGTTTTACCATCGTCCTGGAGTTACGGTGGCCCTTGTAGACCATTTTGACCGAAGGCCTCCTGATATTCTGGGTCTCGCTCTCCTCCATCTCCCTTCTTTCTTTCCTCCTGCGAAACAGTTCCTGGATACGAGCTGCAGCTGAACGCCTTGGGAGGAAAATGCCAAAATAGATCACATGTGAACACAAACTCAAACCAGATTCATATTTAAATCATGAACACGCTTTTTTTTCTTCTATACAAACAAACTCCAAACCATAAAAACAAACTGCTTGCTCCAAACATTTCTTTTTTGCACAAATCAAACCTTTATCTGTCGGGCTTTTCTTCGTGTCAGAGTCATGCACATCTGTCCAGTACAAAATGTGTCAAAATGCAGCTGTTCACGCCGTTTTGTGAGGTCAGTGCTCACATGCAGGCACTCTACACTCAGCTGTGTGCACCATTAGTAGAAGTGGGATGCCCAAACCAAGAAGATAACGACAGCAACGAGAAAAAAGATCCATGTTATTGGCTAACCGTTTGGGTTTAAGTGCTTCGCAGCATGTCACACACCTTTCGGGTTAGATGCTTTTAGGTTGCGCAGCAAACACGTTACCTGATCATCCTATCTCCTACTGCAGATCCTCGGGAATTAAATCTATATTCGTGGTAAAACAGTCAATGGCAAGGCATCACACAGAACTCAAATCAGAACGCCCACCATTTGAAAGTGCAGAAATGAATATATGAAGGGGGTGTTTTCTTATTTGTGGCGAAACGCCCTAACCCAAAGCATCATCTTGACCAACGCACCTCTGTCCCTGCCCCCGGAACCTGGCTGAGGGGATGAGGATGGGGTCGTCGTCGCTGTCGTCGGAGTCTTGGTTGCTCTGTGCCGGCTGACTCTGGCTCTCCTCCGCCTCCTCCCCGGCGGGCTCCGCTCTCCTGCAGCCCCCCGATGTGTCCTCGGCACCCTCCGGCTGACTCCTCTCGGCGGAGCCGCCCGCCGGGCCCTGAGCGGGCGGGCCGCTGCGGGCGGAGGAGCAGGACGCGTCGCACGGAGGCTCGGAGGAGACGGCGGCTGAACTCTGCTGCCCCGAGGACCCGCGGGCAGCTGAGGGGGAGTTTGCGAATTAAATCTTTTTAAAAGTCTGCGCTCGCCTGCGGTCAAATATCAGACGGATAAAACTGAGGCAGAGCTGCTGTTACGGCGTGGAAAAAGGGGGTGACTCACCCTGCTCTGACGGCGGGTTTCCTGTGGACAGACTCTCTCGGCTCGGCGCGGCCAAAACCTCTGAGGTTTTGGGGCCGCCGCTGCCCCGCGAGCTGGAAGCACTGCTGCTCCTAGAAAGGGACGAAGGCAGGTTTTGAGTTAGGAAAAGGTTACACGTTCAGTAAAACATTATCTGGTAAAAGTGGGGCGGGAAAAGGTCATCGACCGGCTGCATGTTTCATATATATATATTAATATATATATACAGCCAAAATCATTCAATAACTCTACTGCTGCCACGTGGGAGGTGGACGCTGCCAGCCATACGCACCATTCATCAGTGAAGTCCAGCTTGATGGTGCTGGTGGTAGTGCCCTCTGAGCTGTAGTGCAGGCTGAGGACCGGCTCTGCTGTGCTGGAGCGGCTGGTGGAGGAGGGGGGGCTGCTGCTGGAGGCCGCAGCCACGGTTTCGTCCCGCGCCGAACCGGCCGCCTCCGCTCCTGAGCAGGAGAGATGAGGACACACAAGCAAAGCAGACAGGAAACGGCTTATTGTCCTGCTGGAACACACTTCCACTACAACGACAGAAGTCCTTTTTCATGTTGTTTGCATGTTCTTGAGTAGAAGCACACTGGAATTATGCAAGTTTCTGTTGCATCCATTCCACTGATTAGCAACATTAAACACGTCGGATTGGTTAACAAGGCAGGCGGAGGACACACTGAAAGGGGAGCATCAACGGTCAAAAGCCACTGCATCACAAAAGAAACACACAACACGCATAAATTTAAGTGCCTAAAAGATTGCCTCACATCTCGGCTGCTTGTTAGAAGTCGAGGAAAGCTAAATCCCTGATAACTGAATGCCGTTTCAGTGGATTAAAGACTGCTTTTCAAGTTACGGAAGCAAAAAGTAATTATGTAGAAAAGCCAGAAAACGCTTCCACAAACATATCACAATCAGCAGATGTTCAACTAAACCCGCCGACTCGTAAACTCCTAACATTCCAATTTTTAAAAAACACAAATAACATGAAGATATTTTTGGTTATGATCATTTAGCCTGCGACATTACTGTTCATGAAAGCATCAGCATCGCAGCCTCTGGCGTCGAAAGCAAGCTGTTAATATGGAATCATTAATGGAGCATCGTGAATGCAGCGGTAATGATGTTTTTGGATTCAAAGCTGGGATCTCTGGCTTTGCTGTGTGTGAACCCACTGTTAACCCTTTCCATTTACATATGCCTTCTCTTTCTCTATAATGGTGGGGGGGACAAAAAAACAACAATACAATTAAATAGGAGGAGATTTAGGTGATTTAGTCTTTTTTTGTAATTTAGGTGAAATAACCCTTTAGTAAAGGTGATTCAATTTACACAGATCTGACTCCTCAGACACGATTTCTGCCCTCAGCCGAAGTAACAAGTCAAATAGACTTCAACATCATCTACCTGTAGGAGGGTAAGGTGGTGTAACAGAGAAAGCAAAGCGTGAGAGTGGAAGGCAGGCTGTGGACGGGGGACAGAACGAGAGGACGTTTACGACCAAGAGGGAGAAGGACAAGGTGAGTGGCGGGCGGGGTAGTGGTCGGGAGAATGAGGAGGGTGGGGTGGGGGTGGGGACGCACCCTGCTGTTCGTCAAGAGTCATGGATCCCAGCTGTTTGTTTACCACAGACGAGGGGGAATCTGGAACAGAAATGAGACCGACTAAACATCGAACACAGAGGTCAAAGCTCAGGACTCACACAGTCAAGACGTGCCAGGGTTAAAAACAGCAGTCGTGTTCAAAATGTAAATCCAAGGGTTTTCTTTGGGTGCTGCTTTTTCTAGATTTTTAAAGGCAAGATGAGTGTTAAGAGACACCTGAAGTGTTGCATTAACACCAATAGATGATATGACAAAAAACAAATAAATTAATTAATGGGCTTGCCTGCTTTCTACTCACAAACTGGATTTCTTCCACATATTTCTCATTCATAATATGTTAGTAAATGACACCCAGGGTACAGCCAAATGAAAGCCAAACTTTTCAGCACCTCATCTCTTGAATGAAGTCAAACAACAACAATAACACAAAAAGCCCATTTCAGACATCATATAACATCACAGATTCTAAATGTTGATTTTCAACTCGCTGGATTGAAACCTGCAACATTTCTGCCTCCTTCAGTCTGCACTGTGCTGCTGGAGCGTGTGAAAACATCCACAGGATAACGTGGCTAATAAAGCCTTTTTAAAGCAAAAATCTGAGTAAATTCCACTTAGCAGATCACCAACTAAAAGGCTTACTCCTTACTGAGAGAAGGGCAACCGTTAAAGGCAACCTGCGCTGTAGTTAAACGTTAAATATTCTGTAACTGAGCAGATATATAAGAAATGTAGATTTAGAACACTGGCTTTTTGTTGTTCAAGGGTGGCATTTCACCATTTCAGAGTTTGCCGTTTCACTAAATGGCGATGACTCAGCCCTGCAGCTTTGCATCGTTTGACATATTCCTCAGCATTCTGCCGGCCATCAGTCCGTCAGCCTCTGAACATCTGTTTGCCTCTTTGATCTGGAACACCTTCCCGTTCCAAAATGCACCATGTGTTTAACAGTAACATACGGGGATACAGGTGTGTCATGTGCTGCTGTCTGTTAGCTCAGACGATCGAGCAGCTTGTTCCTGGGTGCTTTATGTTGAAGTATCCAGCAGGGATGCCAAACATGCCTTCTGGATGTAAACTGCCCCCCTGCGCCACTACATAGTGGTGTATTAGCCCCAATATGGCTGCACACACACAGTGTTAGGGTCAGTGATATTTCAACATATCTGAACATGATATGCAGGTATACATTTGATAGCTAGCTTAAAATCATAAATAAATAAATCACTGTTTTTTAAATGGTGATCATTTTACAAACTGCTTCTTAGAAAAGTACTGGGCGCTTGGAGGCCTTAAGCAGTGAAACTTCACATCAAGACCCATAAACGTCTGTTTGCATCCTTTGGCATGCGAGAGTGTAGACACCAGCCACCGACAGCCTCTGGGTGTGAGGCCTGGAGAAAACAGCAGCAGTCAGCTCAAATCACCATCACACGCATAAAAACGCCCTCTGCAAGAGCTGGCTTTTATAGAAATTCAGCCAGCTTCTCGTGTGGAGGCGTGTTTGTTTTTCAGAATCTCACCTCTCAGAAACGGCAGGTAAATCCAGACTTTTTTTCTGGTGTGTGGCAACATTCAGCTGTTTCTGCATATCACTCCCGAAGTCAGACGGTGCATTTATAGACAATGGGTAAGTGACGTTATACATTTCATGTCTGAAAAGGGCTTCGCACTCAAGTCCAAGTGTGTTCAAAAGCAAACTCTGCAGGTAACAATCTGTCCTATAGGCAGCCGATCAGTGAGCATCATCATAACATGGGTGAGCAACCGCATGAACCACGCGGGCGCCAAATCACAGCACAAATCCAGCTGGCGCCACTCCGACGGGAGAGTCTGCAGGTGAGAACTCAAGCAGCAAGTGGACAGAGGCAGTGAGCGCATTAGTGGGAGGAGGTGGGCAGGCTATAGGGGTTAATCAGGGCAAGATGCATTAGGAGAGGGGAAGGCGGCTCACTGTTTGGGTCAGGGGTTAAGCGGTTAGCTGTAGTAGGACCAGGTGCAGTTTTCATAAAGCTTCCAAAAGAATGTTGAGATCCAAAGTTCTCATTTACGAAATAGCTTATATTTAACTGACTGGATTTTGAAGCACTTTCAATCTTGTTTCTTTTTTTTTTAAATATATATTGCCAAAGTCTTCTTTTAATAAATTCCACAATATGTTTTATATAATTCCATTGTTGTGTCCTTTATTGGGTATAAATCAAGACTAAAGACTCTTTTGTTTTTATGACCCACTGTCAGGAGATCTCCTTTTCAATAATTTTCTTCTCTACTGAAGAAGCTTTGAAAAATCATTTCATCAGCATCAGTTCCATCCAAGAATCTCTGATGAGAGTTAAGATGCTTTGTGATTGACTCTTATATTTTTATCCACTGAGAATATACTCTTTTAACCGAAACTCTTTTTGAAAACAGCTCCTGGTCTTCCTAGAGCCTGAGAGACTCTACAAACTGACATGTTAGCCATGGCTACACAGAGTGGTGAAAATGGCGGGGGGGGGGGGGGGGGGG